CACACACACACACACACACACACACACACACACACACACACACACACCGCTTCCTCACTGAACTATAAATTCTATGTTGCCCTGTGCAGAATGCCCCTGCTTAAGGCAGCCCTGGGTTTCCATGTTGAATGAATGATAGGGAATGAATGACCCATATCCGTGAGACTTGTCATTTGTAATTAGACCTTTGAGAAGTGATTGATAGGCTGCTCCGAGAATATAAAGGTGTTGGCTTTTAGCAGTGAATTTAACTTTTAGGAATGGAATATCTATACTGCTGAGAAGAACAGTTGGTTTCCTTTAAGGCTAGCGGATGTGTTTTTATACGGTTTAAAGCACTCTGTTACTTGAGCGGAGAATGAGCCGGAAACTGTTCTTTCTCTCAGTGCTTAGATGAATACGAAGATGATGAAGCGGGACAGAAGGAACGGAAGCGAGAGGATGCTATCACACAGCAGAACACCATCCAGAACGAAGCTGCGAGTCTCCCGGATCCAGGCACGTCCTACCTGCCCCAGGTGAGCGTTGAAATCACCAGGTTTCCCAGGCTATTTAAATTGCTCTTGATCCTCTTTCCAGTCTCGTCTGGGGAGCCTCAGGCCAGCCTCAGGCCGACTCAGTCATTTCCTGTGGGTTTAACACTGATCGCCTGCTATCCAAATCCTTATTAACTTGGTGATCACTGTTTGCTTCTTCATCCCTGTGGAAAGACTATTGACTGGCTGGCTAGGGGGTTAGCTGACTGGGTTTAGTAGCATCAGTTATAAAAGTAGCCAAGAAAAATGGTAACTTTCTCATTACTAAAAAGCAAGAATTAAATGGGTGAGCTGAGTGTCCTGTTCTGTCCTAGGCTGACCTGTGGATCATAACTGTATAGGGAGTAAAAAGGTGACCGGGTTTCTCCAGCCAGCTGTTGAGACGTGATAACAATAGTATTATGTACACAGTACAGTGCCGTGAACAGTGTCATGTTGAGAGTTCCCAGAAACACTCGAATTTCTGTGTAGTTTAAAATACTTTGGGAGGGCTGGAGAGATGGCTCAGTGGTCAAGAGCACTGGCTACTCTTCTAGAGGACCTAGGTTCAATCCACAGCAACCACGTGGCAGCTCACAACTGTCTGGAACTCCAGGTCTAGGGGATCTGACACCCTCACACAGACACACATGCAGGCAAAGCACAAATGCATGTAAAATGAAGATGTCATAAACTGTAAATACTTTCTAAAAAGTACTTCTGGAAGTAAAACCTAATTCAGTTTTACTTTAATTGGTTACTTTCACTTATGAAACAAATCACTTCATAGAATATTTTTTTTACATGCTTCTGAGGAGAGACTCCATTGTCTTGATGTGTGTCTCCTATCTCTGGAACCAGTTATGTTAAGTGTGTTTTGAAATATTGGTATAATTTGTCCCCGTCTTGATATTTTTGTGATGTTTTAAGTCTGCCTGCCTACCTTTCCACTCTCCCACTTTGCCTTCTGTGTCCTCCCTCTCTCTCCTTCCTCTCTCCCCAGCCCCTCTATTTCTCTCTCCACACTGATGCGTTCCTGCACAAGCCAGAAGATATATAACTCACCTCAGATACCACTCCTCAGATTATGTCCACATATGTTTAGGACAAGTCTTTTCAGGGTCCTGGTATTTGCCAAATAAACTAGACTGGTTGGTGTCAGCCTCGGGGATCTGCCTGTTTCTGCCTCCCTAAAACCGGGATTATAAGCATACACCACCACACCCAGGTTTTTCATTTTTGAGAACAAAGTCTTGCTATGTAGCCTAGGCTGGCCTTGAACTTGCTATGTACCCCCAGGTTGACCTCTAAGTCGTGATCCTCCTGTCTCTGCTTTTCCAGTGCTGTCATCACAGATTGTATCCCAAGATCATCGTGTCCTTTCAGAGTTCCAGTCTCTTTCCTTTCGCTTTCCTTCCCATCCATTCCCATGTAGCAAGAGAACCTCCGCTCTTCCTTCCTTTGTCAGCTGAGCGCTAGGTTTGCAGGCGTGCAGCACCATGCCCAGGTTTTGCTATGCTAGTAACTGAACCTAGGCCTTTAGGCTTGGTAGGCAAGCAGTTCACCAATTGAGCCACATCTCCAGCCCCTAGGCTTGACTTTCTACATTAATTTTATTATTACATGACTTTATAAGGCATTTCAGAGGACTGCACACAGTCCTAAAAGATTACATACAGAGTCTTAGAGTTTTATTGCTGTGAAGAGACACCGTGGCCCTGGCAACTCTTATAAAGGCAACCATTTAATTGGGGCTGGTTTCCAGCTTTGAAGGTCTAGCCCATTATCATTTTGGCAGAAACCATGGTGGTATACAGGCAGGCATGGTGCTGAAGAAGGAGCTGAGAGTTCTACACCTTGATCCTAAGGCCGCAGAAGGAGGCTGTGCCAGACTGGATGTAGCTGGAGCATAGGAGACTCAACACAATGCCCCACAGCGACACACTTCCTCCAGCAAGGCCACACTTCCTAATAGTGCCACAACCTATAGGCCAAGCATTCACAAATGACTCTATGGGAGCCATACCTTTTCAGACCACCACGCATGCCTATTTGCTATTTTGCACCATTATGAAGACATTAGACAGAGGGAAGCAAACTATTTTGAGGTGCTTAGGAAACACAGATGTGAACGTCTCTCTTCCCAAAGGCTCAAGTTACTGACACAGAGATTCACGGAGTGATGGGGTTCACCTTTCCCCCTCAGTCCTCTAAGTCGCTGTTACTGTGAGTGATGACCATCATGGCTCTGTGGAAAATAGAGCCCTGTTGGAGTATAGCACTGTTGCTCACAACTGCTGGTGGCTGGTCATCATCGAAAGTACTTCTGGACTTTTTTTTGTTTAGTAAAATTGAACTGAAACCTGATCCTCGTTCAATGATGACTTCTACAGGAAGTTTGGGAAGGTTTCAGTCGCCGTGGTGTGATGGAGAAAAGACACCATTTTAATGGAAAGTCTAGACCTGTTTCAGTCCTTGTGCTTCTGCTCTGGACAATTTAAGGAGGAAGGCACACTGACATAACCTCAGACAGAGTCTCTAGACAGAGGCTGATTTCTGTAGGAAAAAGCTCCGTCTGCTGCAGTCTAGCTATTTCCAGTGAATACAAGCTAACACGGACTTCTAGCTGAGCTGGCCCTCAAAGCGCTTGCTGCCCTGACACATCTGTCTTCATTTAAACTATTCTGAGCTCTTCCCAGGCATGCTCTTTGTTTCTTCAATTTCTGTCTGTCTGTTTGTTTTGTTAGTAATTGGGATTAAAGGTTGGTCGCTTGCTGGTGACCTTGGCTTCAGATGTATTTTGCCAGGCTGTTTGCTGAGCATGAGAGAGAAGCTAAGTCCTCTCTGCGGGCCTCCCTAATCACCTCATCAGAGGTGTCGGTGGGAAGGGGAAATGCTCTGTCCCCATAGCTGACAGCTCTCTGGGCTACAATTGTAATGTGCTGTCCCTATTACTCCTAAAGGACAGTTATTTACAGCTCCAACATCTAGAGGAGGGATATGGAAGAGCAAGGAGCGAGGAGAGAGCAGACTCTTAGCATCACTGGTTGTTTTATTTTAATAGACAGGGAGAAAGGCTGCATTTTAGCATTGCCTACAGATCTGAGCCACTCAGGGAAATAGGTCTTTTGAAACAAAGATTGCAAATGCAGCCTGGGTTTGGCTTGGCAGTGTGCTCTGAGAGTGGTTAGAATATTTTATTTCTGGTTTAAATTTTCTTTTAATGTAATTCATTTGATGGTAATAGAAAATGAAGATTCAAACACTTTCTTATTTTTAGATAATGGCTTCATACAGCTTTTAGACGTGGCCATGCTTGCTTTTTTAAGTAAACATGTTCTGATTAAATTAAATTTAGAAATATTAAATAGAATATTAAAAAGGTACAAGATGTGGTTGATAAATTCTTTATGGTCTGCTGCCTTCTATGAACTCTTAGATCTTACTCTTAATTTTTGAAGGTGTATGATCACATGGCCCAAAATTTAAAAGGCATAGCAAAGTGTGGTTTAAAATTTGTCGACTACCAAGCTGTCTTCCTAGAAGCAATTGCTATTTCTTTTCTACATGTAGCTTCAGAACTAACCTACAATGAAAGCAGTCTCTGTCTGTCTGTTCATCTGTCCATCTATACATCCTTCATCCATCCATCCATCCATCCATCCATCCATCCATCCATCCATCGGCCTCCTTTTAAATATGAAATCTTCTTCAAAAACAGGCATGCAAACTAGAGGCTTGGTCCCACAGCAGTGTTTAGTTGTGACTCTGATGTCATCAGAGGATTGTTCTGTTGTTGGTGGGTACTTGATTTGATGGCATTAGTGAGATGTAGTTTCTAGTCCAAAAGGAGCCATGTCTTCAGCTACTATGAAGTAAGTACCTATCCCCTCTTCCCATGAAGCTCTGCTTCACCACAGGCCTATAGCAATGGAGCCTGCACACCAGGGGTCCAAACTTCCACAATGATGAGTTTAAGTCCGTCCACTGCCTCTGGAGTTGTCAGGTGTTTGTCACATTAATGGAAGGTCACTTAACACCATTGTCCCTGAAGTCTTCTGTCTGGGCTGTTTGTATCACACTTTCTCAACTGATACTGTAGACAGACTTCAGCAATTGTCCACAAGGGACATCTGTATGATTTTTCACAGATGCAGAATATCCCATTTTTGATTACTCTAAGGTTGTTTATCTTTTTTATGTTTCTGTTTAAAACAACACAGTATTGGAAAACTACCTTGAAACCTTGAACACATTACTTTGCACATGGGTGATAACATTTGTAGCACTGGAATTGCTCGGTGTGTGTTTGGATTTTTCTTTTCTTTAACTTTTCTTTTCTCTCTCTTCTCTCCCTTCCTCCTTCCTCCCCCCCCCCCCCCCCCCCTTCCTTTTTTTTTTTTTTTTTTTGAGGCAGGCTTTCTCTGTGTAATTCTGGCAGACCTAGAACTCAGAGATCCACTTGCCTCTTCCTCCTAAGTGCTAGGATTAAAAGGTGTGGGCCAGCACCACCTAGCTTGTGTTCGGAGTTTTCATATTTCTGAAATAACCTTTATAGATGTCGTAGTGCAAACTTTGTTTTGAATAATTCAAAAATTTCGAGTCAAGTGTGGTTGCACGTGTTGGTAATCTTAGCATACTAGAGATTCAGGGCCAGTCTTCATACAGACTGTTAGAAGCCAGCCTAGGAAGCACTGGACCCTCCCTTAAAGCAAACAATACAACAAATATTTTTTAGTAGCAGAGAATTTTCTTTCTAAACATTTAATTAACACAAATTAGCCGTTCGTGCTAATCATCAGTGGTTAAAATCTTTTACTCTCATAAGTAATAGTAATGACAACTGTATGTATTAAACTATTTGTTTTGAATTCTTTCCTTTGAATAGATTCAGAGAAAAGCTTTTGGGTTGAAAATGCACACAGTGTTTCCAAGATTAAAAAGTACCTACTGCATACCACTTCAGTCACTTGCAGGACTGTGTGTCCTCAGTGTCATCTGTCAGCGTGGACATTAGTAATTTTTACTCTCAGTCTCAGCTTACTGAAAAGTCAAAAGGATACACCGAAAATGTTCTTCTTCTAAAACTATTTCTTGACTACTTTGCTGTTTTCTAAGCACAAGGCCCTCTGAAAGACCACTTTGCTCACATTCAGACCTCATTAAAGTTACTCCAGTGACCCCAGTCTGGTGTCCCAAGGTAGAACAGAGGAATCTAACTCAAAATGACATGCTGCCGTCATTGCCTGTGTCTCTCCCTAGGTCGGAAAGCACTCTAGCCTTTCCAGACTTTTCCTACCTTTCCCATTCCTAGCCCATTTGTAGATTTTAAAAACTGCAGATGAATTTGATGGCGTGGCCCACATTTTGGGTTGTGCCTGGTTCTCTTATAGGAAGCTCGAGTGCGTTTTAAAAAAAAAAAAAAAAAGGTGTTTTTAAAAAAAAAAAAGGTGGAGAAAGTCTCCACTAAAACTGCTGGTAGCAAGTAGAATTGAACTTGATCCTGGTTTCGGAAGTCCCAGGGACTATGTAATGAGATCCTTTGAAAACCCTAGGTCTTTTACACAACAGATTTCAAGTCTACTTTTCCTGACGTAATCTTCCTTGCAAGGGGATAGTGGTCCAGTGTATGCAGCTTGCAGGGCCCAGGGGTGGGGGAGTACCTGTGCAGAGCTGCGAAGATGTTGGCGAAGCACAAACTGTTTCGTGTAAGTTTAAATAAGACTCTTGCTTTGCTGAAATATGGACCAGTCAATAAGGAAATCTCATGAGCACAGTCCTCACAAGCAGAGACGACTGAGATCCTGTGGTGTGTAAACAGAATAAATGTGAAATAAGATAAGAGAAATACAAGCCCAGGAAGGTTAGTTCACATATAGAGTGCACTTGTCCAGTTTAGCAGTGGCCACTGGTAGTTATTAACTGAGGTCCTTCATTATGAAGTTAGTACACTCCTCTGCTTGGGAATCTTTTATAGTCATGGCAACGACATATCGAGCTAGGAATTCTAAGGAAGGAGTTTATATTTATGTAGAATTCCAATCTTACGTGGAGGAACCATGAACATCTCTGAGCCCCCCCCCCCCAAAAAAAAAAAGGGATAGTGTTGTGCTTACTCTTAGCTAGAGTTTGCAAACCTGTTCTTTCCTCTCTTTTCCCCCTCAGGAGACTAGCATACTTTTATTAACAGTCTGTCTTACTTAATTACTGTGTAAAAGCAAAGACTGGCCTTCCTTTTAGACGATGCCTTTTGATAGCAGAGGGAAAAGGAATGTCTTAAACATTTGTTGGCCAAGGTTTTGCTGTGCTCTCTGCATAAACACCAGCTGACACCAAGACAAGGGAAGTTGACTTCATATCAGCCACCACAGGGGACATCTGCACAAGTAGCAACTCAAAGTTCTGTTCCTGGGGTCAGGCCCACCCAGACACTCCAAGATCGTGTCACCCGGTTATTTTTTAACCTCTACTAACTTCCTAAGGGCTTGGGGTTTTATTGTTTTAGTTGGTTTTATTCTTCTTTCCTGTAACATCGGATTGTTAAGGAAAGTGATTTCTCTAGATCCGGGGAGCAGGGACAAGTTTCCAGAAGCTCATATTTTACTTAAGAAACAAGGGCTTCTCCGACTCCTATGCCATCAAGAAGAAAGATAAACTGGACCGTGTGGCCAAGTCTGACCACTGATTTCCCAACGGCTGCCTAATAAACTATGTGCCCTTTGGGACAGTTCCACTAAGAAAGAGAGAAAGAAAGAAAGAAAGAAAGAAAGAAAGAAAGAAAGAAAGAAAGAAAGAAAGAAAGAAAGGAAGGAAGGAAGGAAGGAAGAAAGGAAGGGGGAAGGAAGGAAGGAAGGAAGGAAGGAAGGGAAAGGAAGGAAGAGAGAGAAAGGGAGGAAGAAAGAAAGAGAAAGGAAGGAAGGAAGGAAGAGAAAGGAAGAAAGAAAGAAAGAGAAAGGAAGGAAGAAAGAAAGGAAGGAAGAAAGAGAAAGGAAGGAAGGAAGGAAGGAAGGAAGGAAGGA